GGATCCGGCGTGTTTGTATTTCGCCGAATCTCCCCGATTGATGTTAACGTCGTGTCAAACAGTCGTATAAACCGTTCAGTTGAATTCCGGAAGGTAATATTATTATTATTATTTTTTTTATTTCGAACAACAGCGCGGCGTTCTATCAGTTGTATAATATAATCGAAAAGTTACAACAAAAAAACGGTGTAAGATGTGGTTTTACGATTGTAGGGGGGAGGAGGGGGAAAGCGAAAAAAACACCCATTAAGTTCCATCATTCGTGTCCATTAGAACCCGTTTGCGCTGGGTTTTTTAAACCTCGTTGCCAACGACCGTGCATATAATGTGTATCGTAAGCGGATGAGAAATTGTGTCACCGCCTCCCGCGAGGCAATAAGCCTAGAGTACCTATAAATATACGTGTAAATTAATGTTTTATACGATTCAGTTGGCATAGAAAGTTTAAAAAAAAAAAAATTCAATAACTAAAATAATATGTTAATGGTAATAATAGTTGGCAATGTGCGGGCGGATAATTAATAATTTTGTAGACGGGTATGATGGCTGCAGCGCGTTTAATGCGCTGAAAAAAACGTTAGAAAACGTAAAAAAAAACCCACGCCGAAATAACAGTTTTTAAAACCGAGTCCACGAGTTCCGCAATTCTCGAACTGTGTGGTGCCGAGAAAAAACGACGTTTTACAATAAATCGCGGTCCGCACGATAACATTTAACGATATCGTGACAGTTGACTTTGTAACTATCGCAGAGACGGGATACGGACGACGATAATAATCTAGTGGCGTGCGCTATCACTATCGCACAGTCTTACACGTACGACAGTTCGATAGTGACTGTTATCGCGTAGACCGCTTAAGGTTAAAAATATTTTTAAAAAAAAAAAAAAAAAAAAATACTCGATTTCGCCATTCGACGGTTTTTTTTTTTTTTTTTTTTTTTTTTTTTTTCCTATTCGTCTACTCTGTGATATTTCGTATACGATCCCGTTATAATGTACTTATAAATGAATTTAATTCAATTCTTCCGTGACGCAGAAGAAAGATAAAAAAAAAAAATTGTTGTAATTATTAATCGTACGAGATAATAATATTATTGTGATAAACGTCGTCCAGAACTAGACCGTTATTATTACTGTTATCGCATAACGTTGTGAAACGTGTGTGTGTGTGGACGGTTGATAACTGTTTTTTTTTTTCTTCTCCCAAAGATCCCGTTTTTTTTTTTCGCTATCATAGCGAAATATTATTTGTTTAGATTTATTTCAAAAACTATATCCTACTAAATGTATAGTCCAGTAAAATTTTTATATTTAGACCGTCGCAATGGGGGTCAATGGTGATGAAATACATTTTGGACGCGTGACGTCTATAAACAGGAATGGAAGTTGGTCACTTTTCTCACTTAAAGTCACCCTTTCGGTATTCTCATACGATTTTATAAATAAATAAATGAAAAAAAAATTATTTTATTAATATTTATTACGAGATCTCGGTATCTTATATTGTTATAATTTGCTGTGTGATGAAAAAGAAATTGAACGTCTTGTATAAAATGTAATCTAACGCTACCAAAGACTGGCGTGTTTTTAAACATTTACAGTTATTGTTTTAGTCGTAATTAATGTTGTTATTTGTTTTTAAATTATCGCTAAGTTCTTTAATAAAGCCCAAGTTGTTAACCAAACATACCGTTATACCAACCCTAACCTACCGTAATATTATAATTATTATCTATAACTATTACTATTGATGTTAAAAAAAGTGTATTTTTCGTTGATGTTAGCCACTTATTTTTCTGTGGAATTCACGTTTTAGACACTTACTTGTAAATTTCAATCACTTTTCTCGCTTATTTTCAAACCATTGACCACCACTTTCATCCCCGTGACTACAAATAATCGCGAACTGTTATTAAACGGTAAAAGCTGATGCTCGGACGTTTTACTTGTCAGCGTGTTTACAAAAACAATGTATATCTTTTTTATCTTTTTTTTTTTAAAATCGGAGGGGGTCATTTTAAACTATTTAAAGTTAATACTACTTTAACGGTGGCAATAGCGTTTGTATAGGGGAGCGAAACACCATTCGAAAATAGCGTCGTCTCATTGGGGGGGG